ATCGCAGATTGGCTCATCACCATCATGCTGATGTCAAGAGACTGATACAGAGAGATCTGGTCACTGGGCTTACACTGGACTCGAAGGCTGCTCCTGATCCTGTGTGTGAACCGTGCTTGTCTGGCAAGATGCATGCCAATCCATTCCCCTCATCTGATACTCGCTCTGCTCATCCTTTGAACCTCATCCACTCTGATGTTCACCAAGTCTCTTCCCCCACATTCTCTGGTTATCGCTACTGGGTCACCTTCATTGACGATCACAGTCGATTCCGTGTTGTTGTGCCTCTCAAGGCCAAGTCAGATGTCTTTGATGCTTTCAAGAGATTCAAGGCTTATGCTGAGACTCAATTGGAGCGCAAAATCAAGGCTCTGCGTGATGACAAAGGGGGAGAGTACATGTCCAAGGAATTTGAGCAATTCACAGATGACCATGGGATTGTGAGACATCATACCACCAGGAATCGTCCTCAGCAGAACGGTGTGGCAGAGCGAGCAAACAGACTTCTGACTGAGCGTATCACTGCCATGTTATCAGAGTCTGGATTGCCTAATAGCTTTTGGGGTGAATGTCTGTCCGCTTTGGTGCATGTCTGGAACAGGTGTCCCACTGATGCAGTGGCCCATGCCACTCCCTTTGAGCTGTGGTATGGACGCAAGCCTGACATGTCTCACCTTCGCGTTTGGGGCTGTACTGCCTATGTGCATGTACAAAAGGACAAGAGGGGCGTCTTTGGCTCTCATATGGAGAAATGTGTGTTCATTGGTTACCCTGAGGGGTACAAGGGATGGAAGTTCTACAATCCTACCACCAAGCGCACTGTTATCTCTGAGAGAGCTGATTTTGATGAGCGCTACTTCCCTGGCTTGAAGAGGTCTTCTGACAATGTCCCACCTCCACCTCCACCTCCTACTCCACCTGCGCTATCCATGCCATTGGGCCTGATTGAGGATGTGCCTGCACGAGGTCCAGGGGGAGATATGGGCCCACCAGCTGCGCTTCAGCAGCCTCAGCCATTGCCTGACAATGGGCCTCATTTGGACCTTGATCCAGAACCTCCTGTAAATCAGCCTCCTGTACTCCCAGACCAACCTCTTCATCGTTCACCATCTCCTGATATGCCTCTTGCTCTCAGACGTCCTGTTAGGGCTAAGAAACCACCTGGAGAGTGGTGGGTTCAACACAGAGAACCCACTCCTGCCATTGACAGTGACAGTGATTCTGAGGCAGATGGTGATCAAATGGCCCACTTTGGTGATTCTGCTGAACCTAGGTCGTTTGCAGACGCTATGAGGCGCCCAGATGCTGACAAGTGGAGAGAGGCAGCCATGGAAGAGCTCCAAGCTCATGAGCGCAATGGTACTTGGTCACTAGTGGAACTACCTCCTGGAGTCAAGGCTATTGGTGGCAAGTGGGTCTTCAAGATCAAGCGCAACTCAGATGGCACTGTTGAGCGCTACAAGGCCAGATATGTGGCCAAAGGTTATAACCAGCGCCCTGGCTTTGATTTCCTCGAAATATTTGCACCCACTGTCCATATATCGTCCATCAGAGTTGTCCTTGCCATTGCAGCCATCCACAACCTCCATTTGCGCTCCATTGACATTTCCCATGCATTCCTCAATGGAGTCATGGATGTCAAGGTCTACATGCACCAGCCAGAGGGATTCCATCAGGGTCCTCGCAATCTTGTTTGCCAGTTGGACAAGGCCATCTATGGGACAAAGCAGGGAGGCAGAATGTGGAACCAGAAGATGCACACTGCTTGAAAAACTCGGATTCAAGCGTACTTATTCAGACTCTGCCATCTATGTCTTTAACAGAGCTGATGTGCGCATTATCCTGCCTGTCTTTGTTGATGACATGACACTGGCATCCACTTCTACTTCTGCACTTGACCAAGCTGTCAAGGATCTCTCCCAGCACTTCAAGCTTCGTGATCTTGGCCCTACTTCCTACCTACTTGGCATATCCTGTTAGTTTTGGTGATTCTGCACCTTTGTGCTACCTCTATATTTTCATTCCTTTCTCTATCTATTCCTCTACCATTCAGTATTGATTGTGTTCTCTATTATTCCGCCTTTGTGGCTGCTTTGTTTACCTTTGTTTACAAAACATCGGACAGTACTGCAGAGTCCAATGCTTCCTATTCTCTAGTTACTCACATTGGACTCTAGGTACTGTATACCTGTCATACTCTCTAATAATATAGTTACTCACATTGGACTCTAGTTCCAGTCCCTGATTGCTCTCAGCAAGTGGCTAGACACTTCCTTCAAGCTTTGTTCTTAATATTTCCTAAGTGAGTTAAAGGTCCTCGGCTCAATGTACCAGCATAAAAATCATACTTGTCTGCCAAAAAATGAAGTGCTTGGTGGGCATTGGGAGCTGTGGTTATGTGTTGTCCAAATACTCGGTAGCATCCAAAAAGGTGGAGAATGGTAATAATGTATAGGAGTCTATAAAATGTCTGGTTTTAATACTTGTCTTTAAGTTGGCACTTTATTTTATAAATTTCTACCCTGGCATATAGGTAATTGCTGTACTTATAAAAGGATATAGAAAGTTAGGTGCCCACCTAGAAAACTATTTGTGTGTGTGGTCTGAGATCATCAGGATTATAGGATGGTCCAAGTGCAGGTGGGGCTATTCCTGAGCCAGCTGGGGAGAGACCATTGGGATTCCAGGATTTTCCCAACATATGTGGGGCTATTCTCAAGTCAATTGGGGAGGAATCATTGGTATTATGGGATGGTCCCAACACAGCTGAGAATGGACCATCGACATGTTGTGATGTTCCCTGTACAGGTGGGGCTATTCCCAAGTCAGCTGGGGAGAGACTGTCAGTATTGTGGGATGGTCACAGCACATGTGGGGGCTATTCCTGAGTCAGATGGGGATGGACTATCAGGATTCTGGATGGTTCCAACATAACTGGGTATAGACCATCAGGATGCTGGTGGTCCCATAACTGTCTTACAATAGTTCATGGAGATCAACCAAGTTTGAAAGTCACACTACAGAAATATATGGTACTATGTGAGAATATATTCAACACACATTTAACACTAGGACACTGTAAGCTTACAGCTTTATGTCTGTCATGGCATCACTAGACCCTGAAACTGAACTTATTTGAGGTGACAGTCACATCAATTTTGAACCAACAAACTTTGATGTGTAACAATTTGTGATTAAGTAAGGGTTCTTGCTGCTGTTGTCAGTGTCTCTGGTAGCCAATGGCTTCTACATTAGTTTGTCACATGCCACAATGACTGATGAACCTATGAGCTTAGGGTTATATTGTGTAACAATAAAAACACCTTGAACCTAAGGTTGTAAGTGTATAGTACTTCAGATGTGCCCCAGGAAATTCTGTTTAAATATTGGCAGAATATTGCATTGAATACTGAAACAGCCTGTGGAGCATCTAGTATACTATTTGGGGAGTTTCTATGGGACATCCTATAGAGCATCCCACAGACACTACAACAATTCTGTCTACCATTTAGGGCATGCAAAACCCAATCATCTCATTCAAAATATATTCTTAAAACCTACATAATTTTGTTTGGTTAGTTCATTATGAATTGGTAACCTTATTTCAGACTACAATGACTAACTTTTCATATATAACAAAGGGATGAGATAATAGCCACAAGCAAAAATTAAGCCTATAGTATATATATATATTAGTACCCTTCCTCCAGTGTCTGCCATAGAATGTGGCTTTAAAATGTGCCTGTGCCACAGCATAGACAAATTTCACTAATTGCAACTTTGCTGCAGGTCAGGCACCTTACAAACTCATGTTATGGTGAAACAACCTACAGCCACACAAAGCCAAGCAAGTAAAACTAATGGAAAAAATGTACTTCTACACAACTTCCATGTGGCTTTGAGGACCAACATCCCTTTTTTCTTAGAGCTCATAACTTGGTAAAAAAACCTCAACCTATGAGGGTATAACAGCCACTATGCCACACAGTCCCAAAACCTGAGTTATAATTATTCAATAGTACATTAGCATGTGAAAATTATCTTGTCCAACAGGTGACATTTTTATATTTTGAAATAAACACATCATCAATAAATATCAGTGAAAATATAATATTTCTAAATAATTGCTGATATTTTCTAGCAGGCTCTATATAATTCAAAAGCCCCACCTGGTCTTACTGTTTTCCTGATGCATTGCTTTCACAAGAGTTTCTTATATGTTGGAACCCGTGAGAGTGATTTTTATTTTGGTTTAATGACCCAGGGCTCCTCTGGGAATAGTTATTTTTGTTGGTGGACCCACCTTGGTGTAAGGACCATTTTATTATTTTCTTATCTTCGCTATGTCTTGGTTCTCGAACGCTTTTCCCGTTACACCTCTGGCTCTAGGGCTAGAGGTATCATTTGCCGTTTTACTTCTCATAGCCCTCACAGGCTTTCTTAACCATCGCTACCATTTTATATCACAGATCAGAGAATGGGTATCGCTCCCAGCCAGCCAGCACACGGAGTAAGGATTGGTAGTAGGCATCTCGCCAACCAGCTCCAAGCCTCAGTAAAGCCTGGTTATACTAATAACACCTTATTCAGGATCGTATCTCATTATGAGGATATGGTTCCTGAACACGCGTGACAATCCTCTATTATTAGTACAAGTCTCTCACCTGCTGATTAATCAAGTTAAAAGTCGTACGATAGTTGTTCTCCCTTTTTCTTATTGGTTGATTGATTCCTCAGGCCACTTTTCATATATTCTCCTTTTGGTCTGAGGAACGAACAGTTCACTATATAAAGCCTTACCTATTCATGTATGGCTCCTTAGTTTTCTATTGCTGAATTTACCCGCTTTACTCCTCAACGGAAACCTTTGAAGCTTACCTCTCAAAGTCCTCTACTCGCTATATTTACTAGTGTCTGTCGACCTCAAGCTCATTGAACCCTTTACTCCCTGCAAGTGCAGAAGGAGACAGGTTTCGTTTTTGTTATAGTTTATCGTTGCCTCACACTTGGTGCATAGCATAGAGCTCCATGGCTCTACCAACTCGTCGTACTTCCTCAGCTGCTAGGGCCAGGTTCTCGCTTCTTGTATTCTGCAAGTAGATCTGTTCTGTAATGCGGGGGTTCACATTGCGCTCCAGCAGTTCTACTGCATGTTCATTGCCAAGCCCTCCTTGGATGGAGAGGGCCAGGAACCGGGTAACATAATCATCTGTCTTCATGTTTCCTTGTTTGAAGGAACAGATTTGTTGGCAAGCCCAGTCACGCTCAGCCTGTGGTTTGAAATATTTTTCAATCTCAAGGTTGCCCAGGTAGGCCACACACCCGCAGTGTAGCACTCCTGAAGTTTTACTTGGGCGTATTGACCCACTACAGGTCCCTTTAGTTGAGATAGCACTACAGTTGCTACCTCAAAATCATCGGCAAATGCATCCCAGTTTGCCTTGACCCAAATTTGGAGCTTGATCCACCATTCAGCAAATTGCGCTCTGTTTCCTTCAAAGGCGCCGCTGTCATGCACCAAAGTTGATTGGTAGCATGGACAGGTGTCAATAACAAAGCGAATATTCAAAAAGACTCGCCTTTGCGCCACACAGGCACAGTGCCACGTGGAATAGTAATTAATATTGCCCTTTTTGAACTTGTGGCTGATCAGCACCACCTCTATTAGGCAATCCAGTCACGCTCACCTTTGCTTTTCCATCCGGTACTTTCCGCGTTTCGGCATTTTGGCAAATTTTCGCGTTGCCACTGGCTACACATTGCATTGCGCCCTCGCTTTTGTTGTTTCCCTTACTCCCCTTCCTTTGCCTAGCCCCACCATGGGCCCCTTCCTCTCCTTTTTATTCTCACCTGACGGTCGTTTCTGGGTCCCCATTCTAATCCACTTGTTTGTCACCTCCACCCTCCTCCTCCTCATCTTATTTGCACCCCCACCATTTCTGATGTCACCACTTCCTATCCGCTTCCGTCGCCGATCCGTTGACTACCACGTGCCACTGCTGATATCAGCAAAGCCCCGGTGGCCGGTTCAAATAGGGCAACAGGTCCATCTTTATGACGTCGATCTACCATCATATACTATCAAAACACCGGTCGCTCGTCTTGCCTGGTTGGAGCGTGGGTGGGTAATTTTTGAGCTGGAGAAGGTTCATCCCCTTGCGTCGCCCATGTTCATCGCGGTCCCATTCACTTGGGTACACTTATCTTTTGTCCATCGTCTTCACTACAGCTACACCTACCACACGCTGCCTGGGACTCACTTGTTCCAAATTGGGACTACTCCTCTCCCTCCCTCATTTGACCAGGTGGTCCAACACAACCAGTCCATTGGTAAGGCCATGGAACTGTCGGATTTGGACTAGGTGGTGGACCGGTGGCTCCAGTTTCTTTTTCTTCAGCAGAACATTCATTTACAGTGTGATTATTTTTGATTTTTGAATCATTTTTATGGACACATATTTTTTAGAATGCCTGACTGACAATAAAGGAACTGTGTTGATACTGATAGTGTTTTGCCTTGCCCTTTTTTTACTGCATCTTCCCATGACATCATGATTTTCCTGCTCTTTTTTTGCTATTGGACTTTACTTTATGGCTGTACAAACCTGTGACATTACTCACAGCATTTATTGTTCTATCCCTTTCTTTTCCTTTTTTTGACAATCTTATCCTGTACTACCTATGCAGGATTTGTCAGCGTACATTCCTTCCTTCATGTTCTTTCTCATTCTTTTTGCACAGCTATACTGTGCATAGCCTACTTTTCTTTTACTATATAAACCCCTGTATTTTACCTTGTAAAAAAAACAAGAACTTGAATCCAGACTTCTACTCTAATATCAAGTTCACTACTCACTACTACTTGTGATTCAGTGTGGTCACAACACTTCCCACTGCTACCACTGTCAACTGCTGTCATCGTCACTCGTCACTTTTGAAAGTGATTGTCATCCCTTTTGATTAGCATCCTTCTGAGCACTACAGTCTGTGTGTCAGGAGCCTGCTATCACTGGGAACTTTGTCACCTCATCATATTGTCGTTCTCAAACCTACCTTGTGGTACGATTAGCAAGGTAGTGCTCGTCTATACTCGTCACAAAGCCCCTATCCTTCTATAAATTCAACTATCCCTCCTCCTCAAAACCCACACTCATACACCTCTGGGTTTTACTTTGAAGGATCTTTATACGTACCACCCCACGAACAACCAGACCACTCCACTGTTCTAGGAGGCAAAGCCCATAAACAAGTTCCGTGGAATCTGGGAGGATTGTGTGTTAGTTTGTTTTGTGTGTGGTTTTCTAACTGCAGTTCTCATCATCGACACCGCGGTCAGCGACAACTTCAATTTTCTTGTTAAATTTCTGTTAGATTATACTCTGAAATACCAATACTCCATAGGATAACACCTCTGATTTGTAAGCCAGCCCAGTATGCAGCAGCTATTCTGTATAAGACGTCCGTGGTTGCATGTCATGTTTAAGATCCTACAGTGTATAACCTTGGCTATATAGCTCAAATAGTAGAGCAGCTGGCATGTATCCAGAAGGTTCCAGGTTCAATCCCTGGTCTGGTCAATATCCAATTTTATCAATTTCTTCTCAGCCGAGGGGGCTGCTGCAGTGGGGTTTGCCTGTAGCTCGGCAAGTTGCATGGTCAGTGCCAAAATCTGTGCACGCATATTGTGCAACAAAGTGTTGACATCAGGTTGGCTTTGCAATGACATGTCAACTTGTTCTCTTGTAAAGTAAAATAAAAAATAGTAACTGGGGGTCACCGCTTGCTATCTGCGGATCTGTCTCTTCCCAGCTGAGTATCAGATCTCAATCTCCAAATACCCACACCATAGTATTTGAAAGGTATATAAAAAGTATTGTAATAAACCCTGGTATGAACAGTTGTCAGGGGGTGGTCCGCTTGTTAAGCTGTCAACCCTTCTTCAACTGGCGGAGGCAAGTGCCTGGCCTGGTCAGAGGAAAACAAAGAAGAAGTTTGTATGTAATTTCTAATTAACAGTGGTTCCACACCAACTGTTGAGCTAAAATACTCCCCTTAACACTGGGGGCCGTGTATCAATAATTGTTTCTTCTCCCAGAGCACTACAGGGTCATCGCTAGGAGCGCAACCTTCTGCTATATGGGATATTCCCAAACAATAACCCCTTAACCCTGGGGACTGGGTTTGCACAAAGTGCGAGAGAGTAGTAAGAGCAAGTCCTAATGTAACAACCAAGAGTTTGTATACTCTGGCGCACAACTTCAGACAAAGCTGTAAAGGTAGTGAGGGGAGTGGTTACCCTTAGAATAGGACCAAGTTAGTTGTTGGTAAACAACAGGAGGACTCGCTGAGGAGTCTCCTGGATCTATTGCATATTTATATTACTACAGGTTATTTGTACATGTGTACTATACAGTTGATGCGGGCAGTGGCTGATGATGTCATGGGGCATAGCCTGTGTAATCAGCTCCACTGCATGAGAGATTTGTAGCTATAAATAAAGAAAAGCAGCACAACACGAGAAAAGGGGAGTTTTAACAAAGAAAAGTGCCGCATGATACAGTGTGTGAAAACTATAGAAGAAAGTTAAAGAGGAGAATGAAAGTTGAAGGTCCAAAAATTGTGTTATCATAACACCTTGAGTGCAATATGCAGGTCAAAGAGGATTATGCCTGGAATTCAAGTGTATTTGTATGGCTAGCAGATGGACGAACAAGGACAGCACCTCAACTGTGATGCAATAAGGAACACGAGTACTTGACAAATGAACAGTCATGTCTACGGGGAAATGCCCCAGGCTCCTTTATCGTTGCTTGGCCACCAGGTAACAGGGGGCGGACTACCAGTTAAGCCCAGACTGTTATCTGCATGGGGTAGGAGGTGATATCTAGAGCGGGAAGGTTTGCAGGAGGATAGAAAAATGATAAAAAGGGTTAGGTTGGCTTGTGAATAACCCTGAGCACAATGGTAGCATCAACATATGGACAAAAAAGTCAAAAAAACACTTAACAGCGGAAACACTGCCAGGTGGTTAGGGAAGTTGATGTATCATGGCGTTAAGGGAAGAAACAAAAGAAACACAAAAAACTGCTGAGAACGGGGTACAGAAAAAAGATGTGAAACGAGATCACTTAGCAGCAAAAAATTGGTAGGTCATATGAGAAATAGGGAGGATGGGATGAGGTAACCCTGTGCCAAGACGGTGTAGCATGCATGTGTTGGATTACAACAGGAGTGGTGGGAAACAGGTGGTGGCGCACATATTGGAGTATAAATTGCCAGTGGAGTAAATATTACAAATACAGATAGTGGTCATGGTAATTGTGAGTGAGATCACATAGTCTCTGCAGTGAGGTTGTTTGAAGCAGAAACTGAGTAAGTGGCTGAAAGTTGGGACTAAAAATACTCAAATATAACATCAGTTAAAAAAGCTTGCCTTAAGTTTTAGCTGAGAGCTATATAAGAAAGGTATAACAGCTAAAACAAAGGGATACCATATTTGTAAAAGTTCTACATTTGTACATTGTCTGACATCACAGGGTAACTTTAATCTAGAAACACCATGTCTTTATTAAAAGTCTATGCGTTGCTAATGTACACCTTTTGAGTGAATATCAAGGCAAATGCTATGAACAACTCCAAGGTCTTGCTATGGGTGTTGCTTGCAGTCCAGATATAGCCAATATATATGGAGCTTACTATGAGGAACATTGTTTCCCTAATGAGAAAATACCCTTTCATTGAAGGCTCATAGATGATGTCTTATGTGTGGTATACACTGACTCTGCGGACAAAGCCCTAAGTATTGCCACCACAATTAAAATCAAAGACGTCACTCTAGAATGGGCAGTGTCGGAGTTTTACACTCCATTTTTGGATATGCTGGTTTATATTGATCCTCTATCTGGCAAAATAGAGCATAACCTTATCAAAAGGCACTGAACCATCACAAAAGACTTCCATGGATATCTTATCATCCGAAAGATGTGAAAGAAGGCACATTTATTGGTGAGATCTCCCGCCTCGCTATGTTAAGCAGTATGAAAAAGTCATACTGTGAAGCCCTTGTAGATCTTCTTTATCTATATTTGGGGTGTGGCTATCCAGAGGTGGTGCTCAATACTTGGTTACAAGATAATATCCAAACATGTTGGAATAACAAATTATTGGATAAACCTGACATAGAACGGGACATGTTTGTCCTCAAAACCGAGTTTAACCCTTCATAGAATGCCTTTAATATCAAGGATCTTGGTAAGATCATTACAGATACTTGGTCTGAAATTCTGGTAGTACACCACAGAGCCAACCACCAGCAACAGTGGCGCAATCATCAACAATGTGATGCCCTTCAGGCTCGCGGTTTGTGTGAGATAGATCACATGATACTTGATAGGCTAGATGCAGGCAATGTCTGCGTTTTAGTTCCCATTGAACCCGGGGAAGCTGCCTATTACCAGTTTCCAGGAGAGTTTGGTGTTGCCTTATCTCCTGATCATCCGCAATATTGGGTCAAACATTATGTTAAATGGCCCGGCACTCCTAGTGAGCGTTCGGTTGATTGGGTATTCCGTGTTTGAAATCCCTTATCTAACAGCCCGTTGCTGGAACACCAACTTATCTGTTAGTTTTGGTGATTCTGCACCTTTGTGCTATCTATATATTTTCATTCCTTTCTCTATCTATTTCTCTATCATTTAGTATTGATTGTGTTTTCTATTATTTTGCTTTTGTCGCTGCTTTGTTTACCTTTGTTTACAAAACATCGGACAGTACTGCAGAGTCCAATGCTTCCTATTCTCTAGTTACTCACATTGGACTCTAGGTACTGTATACCTGTCATACTCTCTAATAATATAGTTACTCACATTGGACTCTAGTTCCAGTCCCTGATTGCTCTCAGCAAGTGGTTAGACACTTCCCTTAAGCTTTGTTCTTAATATTGTCTTCAATGTAATTCATGCTGGTCTCTATAATAGAGAATTCCTAGTTTCCAGAAAATGAACAAAAAATTTGTTCGATCTAGCAGCCATGTGGAGGAAATCCATTTCTAACAAAGAATACAAACAGCAGACAATGATCTGCTTTTTGCCCTTGAACAAATGGATCACAATAAGGAAACTTATGAATACATTACAGGTTGACAGTATTATAATTTGCTGATCAACGGAAGCAAACCCAAACCTTAATGTTAACGCTAACTCTAACCAAATGATGTGTACATAAGCCTTATTAAGCAACCCCTAGCCTTATAAGGCTAACCAGCGTATCTGCTCTGACAGGTTAACTTAGATTAACTGGTCACGTGATTATGATATCACACTATTGTCTACCTAACAGCAAACCACATGTTTAACACATGGTTGGGATAACCGGTCTGGACCTTGGTCTGGAACCTGCTTGTATGTTATAGCCCGGGACCTATGCCCTCCGGACCTTTACAATGAATAATATCATCCTGCTTACATAGGGGGATACATGACCAAACATTATTATTGTCCTCCCCGGACGTTTATGTGGGAATAACCACAATCCCTAATTGTTATCTTATCAATTCAGGGGGGGATGACATGCTCATGGGACCTTATCATTTATCTCTGATTGGCCACTCCCACACTGTTGTTATGACCAATAGGATCTTCTTTGGAATTGTCTTTGTTTTTAAGAATAACACGGGCCAACTCCCACGCTGTCATCAGATTGCCTCGGCATTAGAATACATCAGGAAAAATGGGGGTAGCTATATAGAGCTCTATAGCACTATAAGTACCCATAAAGCTGTTATAGTGGTCAAACCTGTTATAGAACCTCTGCCATCTATAAAGCCTCATATAGCTCTATAAATGCTCTTATAGATGTTGGAAATTGTTGTGTGGCTGTTTAAAAAAAATTAACACAGACAGGATTTGAACTCTCAACCTGCTAATCAGCTCTTGGGTGACTAAGCAACCTACAGCCACACATCACATTTATCCACTACACCATGAGAACTTATAAATTGTATTATACAGGTGTTATATATTGACCTTTCATGGACTGAGATTATTTTTTTACTCATTATCACTACTTATATTTGGATAAATCATTATTCTTATTTTGTGAGTATCAGGGATACATACTACTATTTCACTAATACAGGCTACATAATTAATTAATACTGGATGATTTATTAGCCCTTTTAAGCACCTTGAACTATATTATAACTATGACTCTTAAAGCTATAGGAGCTATGTGGGCTGCTATAGGCTATAAGAGCATTTATAGTATCTTGCCTATAATAATATACTTGACTCCAAACACTTTTGGCCTCTTTCTATTATTAAACAAGTTTATTAGATTAATCCAGAGTTTGAGGGAATTATAGATACTTCTCCCCTCGGTTAAAATTTTGCCTACTACTGTGCTATAAGAGCTATAAGAGCTATGATTGCACTGATAGTACTATAGTTTCTATGAATGCATTTATATATATAGGTGGTGGCTATATAGCAAAAGAGTTTTTCCTGATGCAATAAGGGGCGCAATCATTGGCTGATAAGCAATGATAACATATGCTACCCGATCTGGGTGCGGGTCCAGAAATCCGGAAACTGATGTCCTCTCCCACAGAGTAGGGACCCGGTGGATGGGTAAGCCGGCCCGGCCCGAGCATCACATGAAACTACCTCGAGAATAGCTCAAGTGCTTCACGCACTGCCGCACTGCACTGCTTGCCAGTTTGCTATAAAAATGAGGAGACTCTGACCAACTGAAGAGCATCTTGCAAAATTACCTAGCCCTCCCCTCTCAGTGGGGGGTAATCTTGGTCAAAATTGCTACCTCTTCTTCTTGACAGCTACCACCACCTCGCAACCTTTGGCCGCATGGTGGCCTCTTAACCTTAAATCTGATCTACTATAGTTATTTCTGCAAAATGAAAGAACGTCAAGGATATTATTAAATCCTTCAAGATGGCCTTGGTGGGAAAATGGGGAGAGAACCTTGTCTGAAGTGTACAATTGGAAGACTTATTGTTGATGCCAATCAAGGCCAAAGTGGGATGCAATATAGCGCAGTTATGTAACTCCCCTCCTTGAACATTTCATAATGGCATACTTGCAAACTCAGTTGCACAAACTCTAAGGCCCCCAGTAATAATAACAAGGGCAGACATGATCCATCTAACCTCCTTAAAAGCCTTCAACAGGTTCCTTGCCAGGGAAGCATTCCAGAACAATGCATTATTTTTCATATACACAAAATGCAATGCCCTGTCAGCATTTGACAGAAGCCAGGTAATATAACTGGAATGCATGCTCATGAATGGGTTTCAAGGGTCTTCTATAAAGCAACATCCCGTTGAGTTGTTCCGGACATTGTCTGCCACCTCACCCAAGTCAAAATTGTACAGAGACACAGGGGGTTTTTCACCAAAGAAAATGTCCTTAGCTACAATGTCCCAATATTACTGGTGCAAAGTATTGACCAAATGTTAAGTCAGACAATTTTACTATGTCTCCGTGGAACGATAGCTTGAGGCTGAGAGTGTGGGTGAAGACTGCGCTGGGCGTATTTTCTTCTGAGCCTCTGATGGTTTGTAACGGTCCTGCAATGTTGAAATTATTAAGAACGAAGCTTGAAGGAAGTGTCTAGCCACTTGCTGAGAGCAATCAGGGACTGGAACTAGAGTCCAATGTGAGTAACTATATTATTAGAGAGTATGACAGGTATACAGTACCTAGAGTCCAATGTGAGTAACTAGAGAATAGGAAGCATTAGACTCTGCAGTACTGTCCAAAGTTTTGTAAACAAAGATAAACAAAGGAGCCACGAAGGCAAAATAATAGAGAACACAATCAATAGTGAATGATAGAAGAATAGATAGAGAAAGGAATAAAAATATAGAGGTAGCACAAAGGTGCAGAATCACCAAAACTAATAATAAATTGCGCGATCCATTGGGTGACCTCTGATGCATATAGGAAACTTCCATCTGCCTTGGTGCTAACAAGGACCAAGAAACAATTCAACGGAGAAAAATATTTATCAGAATTGACGTCAACTTGAGTATGGCGCCACAGTGCAAGATTGACTTGATGGATGCATCGCCAGACAAAGTCTTTAGAAGCTCCATCGCAGAGTGCTTTATCCAAGTGTTGCAAGGTAGATTTCTGTACCTCAGTAAATATTTACTAATATGTATGCTTCTATCCGATGACACAGCGCACAAAGGACAGCAAAGCTTGGCTGTAGTTTGAGCCATATTGTCCGATGGTTGCAGACTATAGCTGCAAAAACAGCTGGTGGACGCCCAACCCTCATACAATCAGCACCAGGGAGCATTTAATAATCATGCAACTCACTTGCCAACTGATGCAAGGAGCCTTGGTATACCAAAGGACGCATGCTTTCCTATGACAGGCTGAGAGTCTTTAAGGTATTGGACTACATGCTGCCGTAGAGAGTGCAAGTGCTTGTTGTCAGCATTAAACTGCCTGACCATGTCCTGAATATCAGCAGGAAATAACCCCTCCACATGCTTAACCCATCCTTTCTTCTTGTTCAAAATGCTGAGGTCATGAAAGTTGGACAATGCTGAAAAAGGTTGATTGTGATAATCAAAAGAGACAGTACCAAGACAGGATGCGACATGAGGGATTTCCAGGCTGCTGCTTTGCGCCTGTTGAGGGTCAACCCTGAACCAGCGCTTATGTTGACCCGAGGTAAAGTGTTGTGCATAATTGCAAAAAGGCAGTGGGATTGACTCCCCTTTGGCGTAGGAACAAGGAGATTTGAATGCGTGATAATGGGAAACTAGGGCATGTTCAGTCTTGTAACCACAACCGCATTTATTGCAAAAGAAATATGGGACCAGAGTTGTTTTTAGGCCAAATACGGGCATTGCAGCTCCCATAGGCCCTAGATACTGGATTTGGTGCAGATTGACCAACACATATTCCTCTTTGAGCTCCTCTAAAATGTCTTCTGGGAAGTCAAAGCGTGGAAAGTCATGTCTGATATGAGAAATTAAGGTGTAATGCTGCGGAGAAACAGCAAAACAGCAGGAGGTGCAAATCAATATTCTGAATCATTTGTTTATCACAATTGCACACAACAGAAAGTTAAACTTCTCACGTTGTATCACCGTGTTATTGTCTGCCACCAAAACACATACAAATCTGCCATGTCCTAGAACGGATTACCATGCACGTATCTGGGGCTTAAAAAGGAAGTATACCTTCACCAGGTGCGACTGCGTTGCCAATGCAACCTTACAAGACAGGGGTTATTATTATGGCATGAGATCAAAGTGTTAGTGACGTTGAATGCTATCATACCTTGCTGCACCCTATTGCTCAAACATATTATCTCGTCACTTGCGTTGTTGGAAGATGAAAGATCAGGGCACTCTGCTTGGCCTCCCCCATTGACTAAATATTAAGAACAAAGTTTAAAGGAAGTGTCTAACCACTTGCTGAGAGCTATCAGGGACTGGAAACTAGAGTCCAATGTGAGTAACTATATTATTAGAGAGTTTGACAGGTATACAGTACCTAGAGTCCAATGTGAGTAACTAGAGAATAGGAAGCATTGGACTCTGCAGTACTGTCCAAAGTTTTGTAAACAAAGGTAAACAAAGTAGCCACGAAGGCAAAATAATAGAGAACACATTTAATACTGAATAGTAGAAGAATAGATAGAGAAAGGAATGAAGATATAGGGGTGGCACAAGGGTGCAGGATCACCAAAACTAACATAAGTACCCTAAGACAAATGTAGTGTTCATAATGGAGTGGGCTGTTCCCATATTTAAGTGGGCTATTTGCATATTCAAGTAGGTTTCCCCATATATAAGCGAGCTATTCCTATTTTTAATATGGGCTGTTCCCATACTTAAGTAGGCTGCTTCCATGTTTAAATGGGCTATTCCCATACATATTTAAGTGGGCTTTTCCAATCTCTGAAATGGGCTGTTCCCATATTTGAGGAGGCTATTCCCATACCTAAGTGGACTTTTCCCAATTAAAATGGTCTGTCCCTATACATAAGTAGGCATAACCCATGTTAACAACATAAGCTCTATCTATATCTAAGTAGATTTTTTGTATTTTAATATAGGGTGTCCCCACTTTAGAATAATCTATTCCCATTGATTTGTTAGGTATTAACTACTATCATCAGACCCTTTATATATTACATTTTTATTTTTGCTTTTTGTATATTGCTGGACCATAAGGAGTGTGGAAAAGCAAAGTAGACTAGATTGAGATTATTATGATCTGTTCACAGTAGCATGCTTTGTAATTAACATTCTATTTATTAGTATCAATGCATGTAAAGTTAGCAGACACATTAATCATAATATTTAAATCAGTATATTAATTCAAAAGAATAATGTAAATAATATAATCTATTTAGGCTATATATCACATAATTTTTTCTCTTGATGTTAATTTATAACATGGGAATAGCCAACTTAAACATAAGAACAGCCCACTTAAACACAGGATCAGCCCATATTGAAAATGGGAATAGCTCACTTTGATATAAAAAAAGCTTACTAAACAGCGGGAAAACCCCACTCAGACGTGGGAATAGCCCATACTGAAATAAACAAGAACCACTTCATAATATGGATAGCCCTTACTAAAATAACAAAACCCTGCTTTCAAAGTTAAAACAGTCTATATTGTAATACAATTAGAAGGGCTAGCTTATATTTGAAAAATATATATGGGAAGTACTTATGATACTACACTGTGATATTAATCCTGCCAAACTATACTCATCTATTACTTTTTCCTTTCTTACTATCTTTTCCTTTGTCACACCAAATTCTACTTTCCAATTACTCTTTTGAATATTCTGTTACTTTTACTTTTCTCATTATTTTTCCCTTCTTTCCACCAAACTACACTTCTCTATCACTTTTGCCTTCCTACTACCCTAAATTCTCCTCTTAAGGAACAAGTAACAAAGGTGCTTTAAATAATTATGCAATATAAAATACATTAGGACTAAAAATGACCTCAGTAGCAAGATGTTTCCAGCTCTACACAATGCTTACACCCTACTTACTTTGTCAATGAGGCCTCCATGGAGACTTTTTTTTCACAGGGCGCTCCAGAAGCAAAATTGTGGCAACCATGGTAAGGAATGTCCTAAAGCAAAACAGGTCAGGGTGTGTTGGGTTTACTAAAATGACTTACAAAAGGCACTTCAAGAGTGCTATTTAAGTTAATTGCAGCAATTTTGATCTTCTTTGATAATTAATTGCTGCTTCAGTGAAGGTGGTGTCCCTGCAAAATCTTTATCCTCAGAGACCCATTTTCTCTAAGGCAGAAATGTCAGTTGAATACCTAAATACAGAAAAAATGAATCATGGCTTACCATTGCCTAAAGGTCAGCCTGACCTGTTTGTGATTTTTAGAAGGTTAAATTTAGGTAAAAGTGCAAGAATAAATACTGGTTAGCTGAGCAGATTGCAAAGGGTTTTCTGCATGTATTGAGCGGGGGGGGTGGGAGGAAGCTGGAAGGAGCAAGGGAAAGTTGTAGTTTTATAGTAAATTGTATTTGGAAGGTCCAAACACAAGGACATCAAAATAACTCACTCAGACTTGTCAGCAACAAATCACATGGTAGAAATTAGCACAAATATGGCATAATACTTTGCCTTGATCATTCAAATAAATGGTAATAATAACTTGCTTGGAAATAACTTTAGCCCTTGATGCCGGAATCAACGCATAAATTTTGAATGACATCCAAACCAGAAAAAGCATTAAAAAAGATACAAACACATGATAATTCTTCATCTTGTCTTCACTCTGAGGAGCTCCTTGCAGTAGTGAGTGTCCACAAAATATGTCAACTGCCAAGGCCAACATTATTTAGCCCTACAATAATTGTAGTACAAAACAGTTGTTATGTGCTGGCAGAGAAGTATTTGGATGTGATCACTGTAAAACAAGAAAACTTCAGTGTAGCAAATCTTTGTATGGAAGAGCGGATGTGGGCAACCATTCTCTTTGTTGATGGCGGTATTTAGCCATGCTGACTGTGCCGTTTCTGCAGCCATCAGACCTAGTGGTTGTTGAGTGACCCTCAAAACTACACCTTTAAGGGTGAAAAAAAGGATATGTGAAGACAATAATCAGGATAAAGGTGAAGGTGCTTCTTCTGTTGATAAATCTTCTTCAAGAAATTGCCATTTTAAGCAAAAGCTTGACATTGTGTTTAAAGATCTTTTTTTGACCATGGAAATTAATGTTAAGCAGGCCATAAGGAACAGTGAAGAGATTCTACCACAAAAAAATGCCTTGTTCCATATTGTAACTTCTTAGGAGGATCGACTTGGAGAAAACAATGGAGGAGCTCAAACTTGAAGCGCTATTATTAGAACAGTAGGTAGTGATCCTTTTGACACCGTAATTTATTAATTTCAGCGATATCAGCCAGAATGGAATCATAAAGAGTGCCAAGATAGGCATTTATGTCCTTGGTATATATGTATATGTTGCATTTTGTACTGGCTCTTTGTGTAGACCTTTTTATTAGCATCTACAGTGCAGTTTTTTTTAAAAAAATCATTAATTGCACCAAAATATAAACAAAAAGCTGGTCAAAGAATGCATAATAACATTGATTTTCTATATGTACATTGCACTTTGTACTAGCTCTCCATGGAGACCTTTTTAATTAGCATCCATGCTATGTTTTCTTGGAGGTATTACTACTGTGGTGAATGATATATTTATCAATGTAAAAGTGAACAATTAAAGTCAGTCTTTCTTTTTGAGCTTTTTGTAAGCTTGATATAATACTACTTTGTAACTAAAATGTAACTAACAAAAATATTCAAAATATATTTGTAAACCGTCAACAGTCAACTATCAATAATATACTGTTAACCTACGGTAAATAGTCAATTATTGAATTAACAGTTGACAGTTGACAGTTAACAAAAATTCCCAAAACACTTGGTTGTTTCTGTTTCAACATAATTATATATTGTATCACTTAATTTTATATTAACTGAGGTAGCAGCTTGTGTATTTTATATTAGCAGAATATTATTATACTCACCACTTATACAGTACTATTTTCTATTTATCTAATCAACAGAATATGAGCTCAGCAAAAACTGCTAATATGTCTTGGAGTAAAAAAATCTTTTTTTTTTGCTATTTTAAATCTTAATAGGAGAAAGACAAGAGAGACAAATTGGCTACTTTATAAAAGTTATTTGGGGTAAATAGTTGGGTTAAAATACTTTTTGAGTATGCACAAAAGCAATAGAAGGTAATTCAAAAGCAATCCTTCAAAATATAAATCTGACTCTTATAGTTACTTTATCAAAGACAATATTATTGCACTTAATACAAAAGAACTAGAGGCCTGTAAAAATAAAGTCAGAGTATATGGACAAATTGTTAGTTTTGGTGATTCTGCACCTTTGTGCTACCTACACATTATCATTTATTTTTCTATCTATTCCTCTACCATTCAGTATTGATTGTGTTCTCTACTATTTTGCTTTTGTGGCTGATTTGTTTACCTTTGTTTACAAAACTTTGGACAATACTGTAGAGTCCAATGCTTCCTATTCTCTAGTTACTCACATTGGACTCTAGGTACTGTATACCTGTCATACTCTCTAATAATATAGTTACTCATATTGAACTCTAGTTCCATTCCCTGATAACTCTCAACAAGTGGTTAAAAACTTCCCTTAAGCTTTGTTCTTAATAGGAGGGGATAATAGGAGTCCCAAAAGACAATGGTTACGATGGATAAGCAGTAAGATACTTGGATGGTGAGATATGAGGTCAGGAAGATGGCTAGAGCACAGGGCTCATAACCTATTAAGAACAAAGCTTGAAGGAAGTGTCTAGCCACTTGCTAAGAGCTATCAGGAACTGGAACTAGAGTCCAATATAAGTAACTATATTATTAGAGAGTATGACAGGTATACAGTATTTAAAGTCCTATGTGAGTAACTAGAGAATAGGAAGCATTGGACTCTGCAGTATTGTCCAAAGTTTTGTAAATAAAGGTAAACAAAGGAGCCACAAAGGCAAAATAATAGAGAATAGAATCAATACTGAATGATAGGGGAATAGATAGAGAAAGGAATAAAAATATATAGGTAGCACCAAGGTGCAGAATCACCAAAACTAACAATATTCTCATGCCTGTTAGTAGTGTGGTTTGCGCACCATGTTTAGGCCAAATATTGCAATGGTTTTTGGAGTCACTGTATGTGACTTATTTATCTATTCTGAATGTCCTACACCATGAAGTAGTCTCCCCTGCAGCCTTCTCTACAGAGAATTTAATGGACCATGACATGACATCTAACTATTGACATGAACTCACCAAGGATAGGGGTATAAAAAAATCAGGTTACTGGAGCACTCACCAGCTTCTGACCAACTTGCTAAAGCAGCATAATGCACATTGGATGTTAAGTTGGCATTACCCGGGTTAACAGAGTTATTCCATGATAGTGTTAGTTTTGGTGATTCTTTGTGCTACCTCTATATTTTCATTCCTTTCTCTATCTATCCCTCTACCATTCAGTATTGGCAGTGGTAGACGAAGAATGCAAGGCAGAATCGACTTGAGCACGACGACGGCGATTGACCTCTTCAGCAAGGAAAGCATCCCTGAGCTAAGTTTTATCCAAGGTGCCCAGAAGTAGTAGAGACGAAGTGAAGTGGGCATATTGATCAGGAAGCGCCCTAATCATGGCCATGCATGTCAATTCATCGTCCAATTCAGACAATGAGAACCCTGTAGGACGAAGATTTTGAATCTGATGCATGCCTTCGTCAATCCTGGTCATGAGAGACTGCAGGGACTCGTCCTCCTTCTTTCTGATAGAGAAGAAGTCGTCATAGGCGTTAAATCTCGTCCCAGGCTTCTTAGAGACGTGCACAATGGCCAGTTTCTCCCAGATCTTGACAGGATCATCAATGATGCCATCAAGATGGATGCGCTGCTCTTTGGTGACATTGAGGTATAATGCACCAGCAGCCTTTTCAGCTCTCAACTCCCATTTCTCTATTGCTTCAGTGTCAGTCCCAGGACACTTTTCAGCGCCAGAGACGAGCCTTCACAGTCCCTTGGTCATCAACCAAGCTTGCATTTCACCACTCCACTGGGGGTAGTTAGTGCCAGACAAGGGATGGAACTTTGGGTCAGAGTCAGACATGATGGGTGTTGTATAAGACGATAGAGCAAAGATAAATGATGTAGGAAACGGCTATAGGCGATGGAACAGTGGCAAAGGCGATGGGCAACAGTAGGAGGTGAGCAGATAAGATGGTGAGGCGGTAGAGAGAGGATATGGAGAGGGTCAGAAAGTGCAAGGATAGGTCCAAATAGGGTCCAAAAAGCGTCCAAAAGCGATCCAGGAGGGTGCTAAGGCTTCCTAGTGCTGCTACAGGGTTACGCCTGTGTTCCCCTTTCAATACCACACTGATATTAACAGAGAAATTGCCTCGAGACAGTGTTGGTTAATAGGGCTTGTATATGAGTCAACAAAGTGACTTAAGCTCCCCAAACACCGCAGACTGAGAGGGGCTCTAGGCAACAGCAAACTGAGGCAATGCAGGCGAGCTTCACAGTCTATAGGCTTGTTCTATCTGATAATGGACAGAGCAGAGAAGATTGGAGCTTTATGCACACACCAGATATGCCAAAAAGCGAAAAATAGGGCAAAAAGTCGAAAATGATGCAGAGACAGATAGGATGGATGGATTGCCCCCTAATCAGAGGTATATGGAACGTTTATATAGAGTAATAGATGGCCCAAATATCACAACAAGTGAAGCACAGGATGTGGAGATATGCAATAGGGGTGCAATAGGGGTGAAAGTGCCAAAAATGCGAACTTCACAGAGGGTGATGGAGTGGATGGATTGCCCCCAAATTGAGGGTGTAGAGTGCGATAGTATAGGGTACTAGATGGCTCAAATAGGGCCAAGATCCGAGCACAGGATGTGGAGATATGGAGTAGGGGGCCAAAAGGTGATCAAATGATGATGAAGGCTCACAGAAAGATCCAGCTAAAATCCGACCGCTCTGACAGGTTTCCTAGGGTTATTTAGGCCGTAGAAGACGATGGTAGAAGTTTGGGGACGATCAGATAAGGATTGGGTGAGATATGATACAGATAAGACCAAAAAAGCGTCCAAAATGGGGGTAACTTGCAACAAGGAGTTGTTGTTGGAGATCAGGATGAGATCAGAGTAATCTGAGGTGATGGATGGGATAATAGGAGTCCCAGAAGACGATGGTTACGATGGATAAGCAGTAGGACGCTTGGATGGTGAGATATGAGGTCAGGAAGATGGCTAGAGCACAGGGCTCATAACCTATTAAGAACAAAGCTTGAAGGAAGTGTCTAGCCACTTGCTGAGAGCAATCAGGGACTGGAACTAGAGTCCAATGTGAGTAACTAGAGAATAGGAAGCATTGGACTCTGCAGTACTGTCCGATGTTTTGTAAACAAAGGTAAACAAAGGAGCCACAAAGGCGAAATAATAGAGAATAAAATCAATACTGAATGGTAGAGGAATAGATAGAGAAAGGAATGAAAATATAGAGGTAGCACAAAGGTGCAGAATCACAAAAACTAACTATTCCCTGGGTTTTTACATTACAATAATAATATATATGTATTGTTAACATGCTCAGGCTACGTGGTTGGCGATCACACGAAAAAAGGATGTGCTATGGCCGATTGGCTCAAATGCCGGTCCTACACTGTATGTGTCCATGACTATGACATCTTGCTCAAATATGTGTAACAACTTAAGAGAGCTGTCAACTCCCAGATATTTGTTGTGTTGCATCATGAAGGTGATAGCGGCATGACAACGAGCATGGGCTGGCTGCATAGACGAGCTGCCTTGTCAGGCATCAGTTGCAATAGAGGGAGTAATAGAAGTAGTGGTGATGAGCGGCACAATGGTAGATGTGGTGGAGCGGTTTTCCACCGAAGCCATTTGCGAAGGGGCAATAACTGGGGAGGCAGGCGGAGCAAGGCTAATATTGAGTTTTGAGTTGAAGTCCTTGAAGATGGGGATGATTTCCCCCAACCAGTTGTTCAACTCACTGAGAGCATTGGCAGCGGTGTTGCGTGGGGCCTTGTTAGAGCCTCTGCAGCCATTGCCTGCACTCTTGGTGCAAAATATGACAGTAGCGCCATCCTCCACGTCATTGTCTGAGAGTGCACCATCTGTTAGTTTTGGTGATTCTGCACCTAGTTGTGCTACCTCTATATTTTCATTTCTTTCTTTATCTATTGCTCTACCATTCAGTATTGATTGTGTTCTTTATTATTCCGCCTTTGTGGCTGCTTTGTTTACCTTTGTTTACAAAACATCGGACAGTACTGCAGAGTCCAATGCTTCCTATTCTCTAGTTACTCACATTGGACTCTAGGTACTGTATACCTGTCATACTCTCTAATAATACAGTTACTCACATTGGACTCTAGTTCCAGTCCCTGATTGCTCTCAGCAAGTGGCTAGACACTTTCTTCAAGCTTTGTTCTTAATACCATCTTATGCTGAGTGCTTGCTGCTGATAGTCGTTATAGATGAGGTGGTGGGAGCACGGATAGATGTTGGAGACTTGACACCACCAAGCCAGCTTTTTATGCAGCCAGATGATTTAGGGCTGATGGTGCTGGTATCCGTTACAGAGGCACCAGTGTTAGGCTGATTGGAGGGAAAATTGACGGAAGGTGGTAGTTTGGGGGCCTTGAGGGCCTTAGCATGCTTTGGGACTTTGGGGACACAGAATACATTGGTACCCTTGGCTGAGATTCCACCCAACAAGGCATGCATGGCGGAAAAATGGGTCCAGCCCTTTTTCCGAAAGCTCTTTGCTACTGGATTTTTCTGTGCAGTGATTAGCTATTAGTCATAAAGCCAAAATGTATCATCATACCATAATGAGTTCCTCCCAGACTGTTTCTCCTTTGTCAAGTATGTTAAGACCTAGGTCATCATCGGGATGCCAAGGAATGCCTGACAAGTTGGTGATAGGCTTCACTAAATTGTACTTTGTATGAAGCTGTAAACTTTGAGGTTGATATTCAATGATTGAAGACAGATTAGATAATGTACCCTGCCCCACTTTGAACTGCAGGCCTCATGGTGCCTGTATTCCGCTCCCCAACACTCCATAGTGGCGCTCTTTACTAGTCCCTTAGTAAGAAGAGGAACTAAATGTAACGCAACCTTAGGCCAGAACACAGTCTTGAAATTCAAACCATCCCCACCCTCTGCGCTGTTGGTGGTGATGAACTGGATAAAAGCTGATGTCTCTACTTCACTCCAAATGACATTGTTGCTACTGTTATCTTGGGCGCCTGCGCCATTGCCTTCTTCAATTTCCATTGCAACCTCAGTAAACACGTCCTGAGCAGGCTGGAGGTCTTGATTCATCCTGGTAGAATGTCGCAGTTGTTTTGGTGAAGGAACTGGGACTAGGGTTGGGCTGGAGGCCCTGCATTTTTTTGCTCTAGACATGAGGTTGATGGAAGTATGATACCTACCCATTCATAGCTCATAAGATGGATGCCTATTTGTCTCTCCGATGGCATTCCGGCAGGTTGTGGCTGAAAAAATAAACATAATTCAGGAAAAACAGAGTTCCCGTACGAGCCCTTAATTGCTAGTATTTTGAGTCTGTGGCATCTGTTAGCTTGCTGATACTAAAACATGTGGTCACAAAATAGTCACATAACAGTCACATAACAGCAAGTACAACAAAGGCTATTTTGTAAGTTAATGTGTCAACCTTTTAGTTACATATTAGAACCAAGCTAGGTTGGCTACTACTGTTTTATTCCTGTGATGCAGTGCAAAGTTCACTGAGGCTTGTACTGTATGCTGACCCCAGCACCAAGGCTCAGCAACAGCAAAGGCCCTGCCTCAGGACAACTGGAAGTTGACCCCAGTAACCCAAACGGGGCAGGCCTCTCCTTGGCTGGTCCATCAACCACAGATCCCCAAAACCAGGACACTGAGATGGAGGACCCACTCCCATTCATGGGTGAGTAAGGCCCTGCCCCCATGTAAGAGGTCCCTCCTGCTGGTTGTTGTTTGCTGCTGCCAAGCCACATTGCCTCATGCTTTCCATGCCCGCTTTTGCCATCATTATAGAACATTATCATTGCATGCCTATGGACATTGTTATGACATGAACATTACGTTCTTTTATTCTTTTTTTCTGTTCTTTCCTTTGTCTCCTCTCATTATCGCTCTTACCTCATTTTATGTTATTCTGATACTATACATGTTTGTACACCCTAGTGTATATACAATATACCTTACATATAATATATATATATATATATCATAAATATATTTCCCTTTTTCTTTTTATTTTCTCTCTTTTTATTTTCTCTCTTTTTGTACATACAAACACTGAACCTTCCCTTTCTGGGGGAGGGTGTAAGGTATCAACCTGATTAGTCATACCTTATTTCTCAATTAAGTATATAGAACTATGTAGTTTCAAGCCATATAGGTATTTAGTCCGAGTTTGTGATTAGATTGCCCTAATCTAATCACAAACTAAGCCAAACCAAACTTTACCATCCCTAACTGGAACCATTTGGTGTTAAGTGTCATATCCATGCTGGAAGGCAGAACTCTGGAATCTCCAAAGAGGGTATCTTTCAAGTCCGAACCCCCAAGGGATTACACTCCTTGTGCCCTGCCTGTTGGCACAACCCTGTGCCCCATTCCCACATGGTACTCCGGACATCCGCCCCAATACTCCTGCACCAGATTTCTAGTCCGCCATATGTTTCCCTATGCACATTCATGTACTCCTTATGGACTCTGTAGTTTAGACCTTATGGTACACTCCTTGCACATATATTTCTTTTTTGCTAGATAATTTTCCACATAGAACTCCGTACCTACATTATGAGCTACTCCTTACAAACTCCCATTCCTCTGATAGTATATAAGTTGTAGCTTCTGTACTCTGTTCCTGCAGTTCAAATATCAACTAGATTCCCTCGCTTTTTTACAAGTTCTTTTCCAGGTTTTATGGTCCTTCTCCGAAGGACTTTTACTCTGCTCCTTTTTCATCCTCTACTCTCATCTGTTCACTCCAATGAGTTAGGGGCCAAGGTCCATGCATGTATTAAGAACAAAGCTTGAAGGAAGTGTCTAGCCACTTGCTGAGAGCAATCAGGGACTGGAAACTAGAGTCCAATGTGAGTAACTAAATTATTAGAGAGTATGACAGGTATACAGTACCTAGAGTCCAATGTGAGTAACTAGAGAATAGGAAGCATTGGACTCTGCAGTACTGTCCAATGTTTTGTAAACAAAGGTAAACAAAGCAGCCACAAAGGCGGAATAATAGAGAACATAATCAATACTGAATGGTAGAGCAATAGATAAAGAAAGAAATGAAAATATAGAGGTAGCACAACTAGGTGCAGAATCACCAAAACTAACAGCATGGACCTAGCGCACGGACTAAGTTAATTCCCAATGTTGTACTCCACTACTCCTCCACTCTGTTACTCCAAAAGGTCATGGTTCTGACATTAAGTCCTGCTAAGTCTCATTGCAGAGTTGGCAGCCAAGCAACAATCTGCCAAGTGATGCTGGGGTGACGGCTTTGACCAAAGGCGGGCTTATTGTGGATAAGACTAACTACTGATTTGATGGACACCACTTATATCAGGCCCTTGACAAATTATGACATTTTTTTATAGTATGAGATAATAAAACTATGTGAAACTCAGCCGCTGCCTGAGAGGCTATAGAAATGACTGAGGTATTTCTATACTAAGCCCCCTACTACTTATAGTCGGAGGTGCTACTCGCTACAGTATAATAACTCCTAGGAGAACAATGGTGACTCCATGGAGTGGTGGCTATGCTCCATGAAGAACAATGGCTGCTTTGGCAGAGACCGGGTTTATCCGGTTTTGTCACTCCCACTCGAGTGCAACCGTAGTCCCCTAGCTTTAGAGAATTTCTAGTGTTTTTCATGAGTGAGGGGTTTAGTGAGAATGTCTGCAACCGTATCTCCTGTAGGAACGTATCTGATTAACTGCCTCTCCCTTTGATACTAAGTCATCTTGGATAAAATGATATTTCCGTTGAATGTGTTTTGTGCAAGCACGGAACTGTGGATCTTGTGTAAGAATAATAGCTGCTTGATTGTCACAGTGCAATGTTGTAGGTCCATTTTGAGCATTTCCAATTTCTTCAAAAAATGTCCGAAGCCATGCAAGGTGTTGTCCAGCATTGCTCAATCCAATGTACTCTGACTCCGTGTGTAAGGACCATTTTATTATTTTCTTATCTTCGCTATGTCTTGGTTCTCGAACGCTTTTCCCGTTACACCTCTGGCTCTAGGGCTAGAGGTATCATTTGCCGTTTTACTTCTCATAGCCCTCACAGGCTTTCTTAACCATCGCTACCATTTTACATCACAGATCAGAGAATGGGTATCGCTCCCAGCCAGCCAGCACACGGAGTAAGGATTGGTAGTAGGCATCTCGCCAACCAGCTCCAAGCCTCAGTAAAGCCTGGTTATACTAATAACACCTTATTCAGGATCATATCTCATTATGAGGATATGGTTCCTGAACACGCGTGACAATCCTCTATTATTAGTACAAGTCTCTCACCTGCTGATTAATCAAGTTAAAAGTCGTACGATAGTTGTTCTCCCTTTTTCTTATTGGTTGATTGATTCCTCAGGCCACTTTTCATATATTCTCCTTTTGGTCTGAGGAACGAACAGTTCACTATATAAAGCCTTACCTATTCATGTATGGCTCCTTAGTTTTCTATTGCTGAATTTACCCGCTTTACTCCTCAACGGAAACCTTTGAAGCTTACCTCTCAAAGTCCTCTACTCGCTATATTTACTAGTGTCTGTCGACCTCAAGCTCATTGAACCCTTTACTCCCTGCAAGTGCAGAAGGAGACAGGTTTCGTTTTTGTTATAGTTTATCGTTGCCTCACACCGTGGAGGATAAAGCTACCATGCTTTGTCTTTTGCTTGTCCATGAGATTGCTCCTCGGATGGTGATAAAGACAAACCCTGATGTTGATCAAGAGGTGTCTGGGTCTCCAGACCAATCTGCATCCAAATATCCATAGAAATCCATGTCCATGGAGACATCTGTGCCATCATATCATAGTTCCATGTCCCTGGTTGCTTTCAGATATTGGAGGACACATTTTGCAGCTTCCCAGTAATGGCTCCTTGGAGCTGAGCTATGCCTGCTTAGTATTCCAACAACGTAGGCAATATCTGGGCGGGTTCTGAGCATGGCATACATGAGGGAGCCTACAATTGAGAGGTATGACACTTGACACCCTTCAATATGCATCTCGTGTTGCACAATATCTTCCCCTGGAGCATTTGCAAGGAGTTTTGATCCATGGGCCATTGGTGTCCATACTGGTTTGCAGTTCTTCATTCCAGTACACTCCAGGACTGTGTCAATGTAATGGCGTTGCAATAGGGATATTGTTTTGTTTGAACAATCACGTTGGATTTCTATTCCAAGGATGTATTTTGCTTCTCCAAGGTCCCGCATTTTGAATATGGATTCGAGTTTGGCTTTTGTGATATCCATGAATTTTCGGGATGAAGCTCCTAGGAGGAGGTCATCTACATAGACAACAACAAAGCATACTTGTTTGTTGTCCTGGAATACATAGAGACATGTTTCTGCATTTAGTCTTGTGAAACCGAGCTCCTGGAGCTTGCAATCAAAAATTTTGTTCCATGTACGACCAGCTTGTTTTAACCCGTAGATGGATTTCTTCAACCTCCAGCAGTATCCAGGTTGGATAGGAACACCCCCTGGAGGAAGCATGTACAGTTCTTCTTCAAGTTCTCCATTGAGATAAGCTGTGGATACATTCATTTGATCAAGTTCTAGGTTGTACTTTGCTGCCAGGGCTAGAGTAATTCAGATTGACTCTAAGTTTGCAACCGGAGCAAAAACTTCCTGGTAATCAATCCCCTCCCTTTGAGTAAAACCTTGTGCAACAATACGGAGTTTGTATCTCTCAATATTTCTGTTTTGATCAAACTTGATCCGGAACACAGGTTTTGATGTGATGGGTTTCACTCCCTTTGGAAGTGGAACAGTGTCATATACTGCATTAGTATTGAGACTTAGGAGTTCCTCCTCCAAGGCAGACTTCCATAATTCTCCATCTGGACGTGATAAGGCTTCCTTTAGTGTCCTTGGAAGGTCTGTGTTAGATGGACCGGTACTTGCTATTCCAGCAAAGAATGTCTCCTCTGTATCAGATGTTTCTTCATAAACCTCAGGAGTGTTAGGTTTCTCCATGGAGTTGTCATGCTGCTCTTTCCAAGACTGTTCCTCATCTAGAGTCCTTTGATAATCTCGGTTTCTGTCTGCAGGACGGGTCTGGCGACTGCTTCTGTGTACTCCTAGGACTTCAGCAGGCATGACTGCTCTTTTAGGAACTTGTGCAGGTACTCCAGGGAGTAGACGCATTTGTGTATTTGTTGCCCCACTCACTCCTGAAGGTGTTGAATGACTCCTTGGAGGTGTTGTATGCCTTCCAGAAGCTGATCCAATGGACAGGCTGTCTAGCTGTATTCGGACTTTTTCTACATCAGCTGGCTGTATGTTGAGGGGCTGTCCGCCCACTGACTGTAACTCTACTTTGGCTTTCCGTTCTGAAGATGGCCAGTGTTCAGGTCTTGGTTATAGATACTGTTGTGGAGGGTGTCTTAGCTGATCAGGTGCTCCCACTGCTCTTGGAACATCTCCACGGAGGTATTGCACCACTGCACTCAGAACATCTTCATGCTGATATGGTTTTATTACTTGTGGAACATCTCCTTGGAGATGTGGTTCCATTTGCAATTCATTTGGATCTCGGATCTGAGGGTCAGAATCATCCTCCAATGTATTTTGATCTGGATAGTGAGCATTCTCTGGAATGAGTCCCTCTCACTGATCTGTGCTAGGGTCTGTGTTCCAGGGAGCAGTGTCGTCCTTTTGTACCTTTCCGGATTCATTGAATATGACATGCCGACTGGAAAACACAGTTTGTTTTTCAGTGTCTAGGAGTTTGTAGGCTTGCTTTCCATGTGTGTAGCCAATCATTATGGCTTTGCGCCCCTTGGAGTAAAACTTCCCTTGCCTTTTGTCTTTCGGAATCAAGGCATATGCTTGGCATCCAAAAGGACAAAACAAAGTTGGATCAACTCTCCTTTTAAACAGTATTTCATATGGGGTCTTTCCATGGAGTCCTGATGCTGGGCTGCGTGCTGTGATATATGCAGCTGTTTGCATGGCATCTACCCAAAATGACTTTGGGAGCTTGGAATCATGGAGCATAGTGGTTGCTAATGTAGCCAATGTCTGATTTATGCGTTCTGCAATGCCATTTTGTTCCGGAGTATCTGCAGCTGTAGTTTCTTGGATGACACCATCTCCTCGGAGTTGATTTTTGAATGCATTGCCAGTATATTCTCCTCCCCCATTGCTCCGGAGGAATTTCGTGTATGGTGGAGTGAAGTTTTCTTCTCCCAAATGAGTCCAGAAGAATGTTTGGACATCTTCTTTCCATTGCTTGTATTGTTCCAGTGCCTCACTTTTATGTTTTAGGAAATATATCCATGGAAATTTGGAGAAATCATCTACAATGATAATCCAGTACTGAAAACCCTCCCTGGAAGTTGGTTTGATTGGTCCTCCAACATCTGTGTGCACAATTTGTATGGGGCGCTTGTCTCAGTTTCCTCCAGTGGACTTGAAAGGTAATTTCTTCATCTTTCCTAAAGCACAAGGTTCACAAAACTCCAGGGTTCCAATAAGGGTGTCTATGTCCTGGAGCTGTCTTTTTGTAACCATTCATTGCAAACAGTCCATTCCAATGTGTCCCATTCTCCTGGAATAAATTTACATCAGGATGCAGAACATGGTATGTTCCTGGCTCAAACCAGGAGCGATGAGGGACCATGTGGGATGTTGCTCCAGAGTCAATAATAATTATTGTTTTGGTCTTATCGGGTTTCAACACAAGGTAAGCTTGAATGTGTTTAGTAAGGAGCTTGGAAATATGTACATGTTCCAATGTAATATGTCTCTGTTTTTCCTCGGAGTCAGATCCAGATGATTGCTTTGCCGTATTTGCATTTTCCTTCTCTTTTCCTTTATCCTTGTGTTTTTCCTTTCCCTTCTTCCTTTGACCTTTCCCAGCTGACTGAAGTGTTTGACACTCTGAGGTGTTGTGTGATTTGGCTTTGTGGAAGTCACACCACTTCTTCTCGGATTTGAGTGCTGATTTGGAACCTCCAGGGGCCTTTCCTGACTGTTGTGCAACTTCTGCAGTGATCCGGATCTCAACTGCATCAAAGGTAAGTTTATTTTCTTCAATTGTGTTGATTACCGATGACTGAAATATTTGCCATTCAGGAGTGCATGGGAGAGATTGGAGAAGAGCAAAGGCCATGAGTTTGGTATCAACTCCTAGTTTCATTCCAGAGAGGTGTGAATCAATTGTCTGGATTTTTGCAATGTGGTCCTGGATTGATGTCCCATCCCAGGACAATTTGGTGAGTTGCTGGAATGAATAGAAGGCCAAGGCAATGTTGGACGTCTGATGGAGTGAGAGAAGTTTATCAAATAACTCCTTGGAGCTGGTGAGGTCTCCAGTCCTCATTAGGAGGGCATCAGAGATGTGGTCCTGGATGATTCCATGTGTCTTCTCATCCTTAAGTATCCAGGTGATTTCAGGATCCTCCATGGAGGTAGGTTTTCCTGGTGAGGGCTCAAGCTCCTCTCCAGTAACAACCCGGAGAACTTTTTCCCGACGTAGCTTTGAGATGATCCGGAGTTTCCATATCTGAAAATTGTTGGGTCCAGTTAGAACTGGACATGCGGATGTATTGTGTGCTGTGGTCATGGTTCCAAGGTTGCCGTTTCAAATAAGAATTATTTCCTATGTAGCTTTTGCGCACCAGGACTCATAACCTAATAAAACTATGTGAAACTCAGCCGCTGCCCGAGAGGCTATAGAATCAACTGAGGTATTTCTATACTAAACCCCCTACTACTTATAGTTGGAGGTGCTACTCGCTACAGTATAATGACTCCTAGGAGTACAATGGTGACTCCATGGAGTGGTGGCTATGCTCCATGAAGAACAATGGCTGCTTTGGCAGAGACCGGGTTTATCCGGTTTTGTCATGAGAAAACATGCATTGGCCAGGGCTTGAACCTGGGACTCCAGCTTTTATGGTCTAGTGCTTTACCAACTAAGCTACCAAGGAGTAATTGGAAAGCATACTGATTGGTTGCATGCCCAGAAGGTCCAGAATCACTGTACACAGGTGTGGATCCCATTGTGTGTTGTGATAGCCCTGAGCAACAAGGTGTTTCAGCTGATAGAATGAAAGAATTTTACCTTCCTCCTGAGGGTGTAGCCTGTAATAGGCCTGCTGTGTTTTGTTATGAATGCCTTATATTTCTCATCTTTCACTGGGTTTCCAACCACTGCACTGGGGCACAATAGGTAATTTCACCCCACACACAGGCTTACAGTTTCTTTTTTCTCTTGTAAGTGAATGAATACTTTACAGGCTAGTAAGATTCATTATCCACTACCACAATGAAAAGGAGTAGTTTAATATGTACTAATATTGTTTTCATTATATTAATAAAATCTGATGCTTTGATTCTGACTGTAAAAGAACAAAATAAAATTGAAGTGAATGTGTGATTGAAAATTCGGTGAACTTCCCCGGCACAGGGCATGGCCTCGGCCATGCCGGACCTCCGTTGCTAAGACCGATTTTTCGGTCACGAGTATGCATCGCAGGGTAATACCATGATAGTTACCTTCCAGCTTGCGTCTGATCCGTTGGTGGTTGTCAGTCGTAGATCATGCACTATGTTGCGCTCACCTGTGTCCCGTTGTCTCTTTCCCAGTAGGAGGTCCAACTTGAAATTTTCCTCCCATACAGTCATATGCGAAACAGAACGAGGTACACATCTCATATTCTAATATCTCATTCCGGGCTCACCATATTACTATGCGTGTAGGACACTGTGCAGGTGAGGATATCGCTCCGTTTGCCTTGTCTGAAGGTCAGTCACCCGGGCTCAGATGTTTCTCTGCGTTTCAATATGAACAGGACGTCCACTACTACTAACAGGAAACCATTTTTCAGATGACCCGACGCATGATTTATCTACTGGTACAAAAGTAATGCCAGTGCGACCATTGCCCACTTTGCCATCCAGACCTGGTTTTCCTATCCCTCATCTGAATGTGGATGATGTCGACAATTATGTTATCCCACTCCTCTCCCGTAATTGGCGTATCAGTCGTGCTTTTGTTTCAAAGACTCGCTATAATTTATCGCTGTCACAGCGATTTGATTTCGATAAATATAGTAACCTTATGGAGTTCTTGAATAAGCTGGCTACCTTATCAAAAGCGGAGCGTGTAAGCTTCTTTATTCCGTCTCACTTAAACTTACCACTAACAGTCCCATTCTCTCTGCAAGCACCACCCTCGTATGATCATTGATAAATCCACCGTCGAGCTTTTTCTGCACACCCACAGCGCGTACCGCGTCCGTAACTCGGACGAGAAGCCTATATTCCATATTCAACAACCCGGAGTCACTTTGTGCGACGTTCGTTATGCCATATTTGTAGACCAACTGTTCTCAAATGAATTCGAATCGATGGGCTGTGGGGTCAGATATGTTCCAAAAGCTCAAGGCATACTTCAAGAGCTATCACTTCGAGAGGCGCGAAAGAGGTTCGGTGAATATAGACCGACTCTTAAAACTTTATGATGTCCTCCCCTCCTATCTATTCCTAAACCATACTATCAGCCTTTCGTAAACCGTACCTCATGTGTTGTCTTTTACGTGCATGGCATCGGCAATGCAGAAGTCGAAAATAGGATCTCAATGTTAGTACTGTCCGTGACACATGGATGAAGTCAATAATCCTTATTATATTCATCATTTGAAAAGGTTCTACACTTTCAAGCAATAAATGATGCAAAATATTAAATAGCTACAATCGTGCGAACCTATCTCAAAACCCCAAGCAGTTAAAGGCCGACTTCAAGATAACGAAAACATCAAATGGGCTAGTTTCTTCCAAATATACCTTCCCTGGCATAACAGTCCCTCGTGGCAATATTCTACAGAGAACTTTCAAAGAATAGTCAGTCTTCCCAAGCAATTCCTGACCTGACCGCTATCCGGAATCCCGCGAGGGGTTATAAATACGATATGGTAAGGGTCCTTTATCAAAAACGTATCCGTTTACCCTCATCATGCCCTCCACAGTTGATATCAAGTTTGCGCAAATCGCAGATGAAATCAAGGTTGATATATTGACTGCAACCCAAGATAAGGATAATGTCAAACGTACCGAGGAAGTATCCAGAGCATTTATATGTGCGTGCAATTCCTCTGGAATGCAAGGAAAGGCATAGATGCTTATGTCTTGTGTAGCTGACACAATCACAGGTATGCCTTCACATTAAGTAATCGATTTGCAAGTTCCGAACTCCTCCAGTTCCGACTGCAGAGATGTTTAGCTACGCGATACGCTCTTCTCTCGGTGACGATGTATATTTCGAACCTTCCACTGCCGCGCTTGAAGAACATATCGCTCAACTTGCGGGAAAGGAGGCAGGGATTTTCCTACCTACGGGTACAATGTCTAATCAGATAGCGCTTCGGACACTTCTGGAGCAACCACCTTACTCAGTCCTTTGCGATGTACGGTCGCATGTTTACCGGTAAGTGTAAATATGACAGACGATTTTGAATGACATCAATGCTGTTTTTTTATCTCGTTGGTTAAGGTTCGAGGCAGGGGGACTAGCCTTCCACTCTGGTGCTCACAGCACACCTGTCATTCCATCCAACGGTATGCTATGAAATAATTATCATCCCGCCCTTGTGAGCTTACATCATTAACTGTAGGACATCATTTAACACTGGAAGATATCGAGGATCACGTTATACTGAGCTCTGACGTACATGTGTGGGTTTTTTATATCCTTTTCGTTGTTCTATTATATTTGAAGTCCTTCGCTAGTGCACCTACTCGTGTGATTACACTTGAGAATACTCTCAACGGCACAATCATCCCACAGAACGAGATATACATGATATCGGAATTCGCTCGCAGTAAGAAGATAAAGATGCACCTTGATGGAGCACGCATATGGCACGTCGCAGCGGAGACAAACACTTCAATCCGTGAACTTTGTAGTCCCTTCGATTCGGTTAGCTTGTGCTTGAGCAAGGGTTTGGGTATGCGTACTTCCCCTAATCTATGAGAATAGTTTACTGATAACTACGCTGTGACCACTATTCAGGAGCTCCCATAGGAACGTGCCTTGTTGGAACTAAGCCTTTCATAAGAAAGGCACGTTGGTTCCGTAAGCTCCTTGGCGCTGGTATGCGCCAAACCGGCTTCCTTGCTGGAGCTGCTGCCTACGCTCTTGCTAACAACTTCCAGCTCCTTCCGCGGGTGCATGCGCTGGCCAAACACATGCAGCAAGGTCTAGAGAAGTTGGGAGTTGGGATTCTAAGTCCAGCAGAGACATGCATGGTCAGCCTTCCCTGCCCATCTTGTATCATTTATTTGATGAGCACTCCGTGAAGGTATTCTATGACCCCGATCCTATCGGGGTAGAATATTGGGAAGTTGTTGAACGTGCTGCACAGCTCCCAAATCCGATCAAACTTAACGGATCGCGATTAGTTATGCATATTCAGACATCGCCCCAAGCCGTTAGCGATTTCCTGCAGCTAATGAAAACGTTGAAGGAGGAAAAAATACTGGCGGGATGGGATCCGAAGAATCTTGTTGTTGCTAAAAAGAAAAAATTGATTACAGACGTATATATTAAAGCTGTCAAACCACTAGCACTGTGATAGCTGATTTAGAGTGTAGCATGATGGAATTAACTATGATGGCATTTGTGAAGTTATAAAGAGAAGATACTCCTGTGGCTAGCATATATATATTAACCTTTGCCAACGTATCTCTGTTTTTCAAATTGCTTCCATAGGTCCTTCATCACAGTTTTCCCACCTGCATCCAGTAAGGATGTCATTACGGCGTCGCGATTGTGTTCTCCAATCATTTCACACAAGGCGAACATACCAGGCTCCAGCTCTTTGCGCATATCAATGGTCAGCACACATAATGGGTCATTCATGACTTCCACATATGCTACCAGCACGTAAACAGCATGCCGAGAAAACGGTTTGGTGAGAGATTCAGCTTTTTGCGGTTCAGGCGTGGGCGCTGTTGAATTAGAGGAGTTCTGATGCGTAGAGGGAATTGATTTTGCAGTGAGGGTCGTTAGAAGCCGTGCGAGTGCACGACATTCTTTAGGAGACAAGGGATGAGCGGAATGGATCCATGCTGGAAAGGTATCAGTGACAACCCTAGCCTGCTTAGCCCCAAGACGAGATCGAGGTCTTCGTGTCAATTTGATCAACGCTCGCAGAAGCATACCAAGATGCGGGAGAGTATGCACAACCAAATCACGCCTTAAGCGGATGAGATTACTGACGATTGCAGTGATACGATGGAAAACTAGAGGGGATGTTGATGCATTTTCACTAGGTGAACCTGCAATAACCTGCGACAAGAAGGACCAGATATTGCTCAAATCTGAAGAACGTATCAATGCGGGCTGTGATAGACCGTTAGCAAGGGGCTTTGTGTGAAACTGCTCATAACATAGACCTACTTTCTCGGAGCAAAACTGGTCAATAAATGTAAGGACATCACAGCATAAGCCTACGGAATTGATATATTCTGTGATATTATTGGTGAAGATGCTGAGGCATCGTGTTAAGAAGCTTTGCAAGATCTGAGAGGTACCTAGTGACGAATATTTACTAGGTTATAACTAGTAGTGACAAAGTATAAGTTACCTTGTGGTGCTTCGTGCGTTAAAACAGAAGAAAGATGTAAGAGGGAAATGCGTTCCCCTGAAGTAAGCGTGGGCGTTGCGAGCTCAGCGTGTATGATATCTAGTAGATATGAGAACTCTTGAACAGGTATCCATTTGCATACGTTTACAATGCACGCGTCAATTTTTCCAGGCACTACGTAACATGTAGAATAAGTTGCGCGTAAGTTATACTTTATCAGAACAACTTACGTTGACTTCTGCATACCATATAAGTAGCCAATGTGACCTCTAGATGGCGAGTTATATTGAGATGAGACAAACATCGCAATTCTTCAAACAATAAAGCCACTGTTTCTGCAGATGTGCTTTCCATAGATGATATTGACGTATCCCTAGATCGACTGGTATAGATCAGATTGGAAGCTATTTTCTGGCCTAAACGAGGAGTGAATGAATCTGACGCGATTTTACGAATCAGTCGAAGTGAGTTAGCAAAAGGCACTTTGCTTACGATCCAACCCAAGCCAGTTGCCAAAAGCCAGACTGTTTGACCAGGCTGCAAGCATGGTACTCGTTGAATCTGACAATGACGAGAATCCTTGACTCGCTACTTTGACCAACGGAGGAGCTATTGTCACCATTAAATTGTCATATAACTGTTTCAACGATGTGATTGTTTGTTCTGAAAAGCTGCACCAAAATGTCGTTAGCTCTATGGATAATTCTTTACGGGTATGGATACTGACATTGACACCTTGAATTGGGTTGTCAGCGACCTTGTGAAGCGTACTACGCACTGCTCGACAAGTTTATTACACGTTAAATCTTGACTGGACTGCTCGAAGGGTCGATGTCTCAGAAGCCACCCTACGACTGAGATCATCATTTCTGACTTGTCTCCATGAAGGCGCAAGATAGACCTAAACATCGGTTTAATGTCAATCCGAATATTGGGCAGAACAATCTCACAAAATTTGTATCTCTATTAAGTCCAGCGTCACAAGCAAAAGAACGTCAGGGAGCAGACCGGATGATGTTGCCGGCCCGATTAGATGACCAAGATATTGGAGAGTCATCTTTTATCATAAGTGTCTCAGCGAGATAGATCTACAACAACAGCATTCAAACCTACAGAATGATCAAGAACACCGTGATAGTGGCAGAGACGTTTCAAAAATGTTCGTATGATTGCTATAGAGTGCTGTGCTCTTTGCGCCAAGTGACCATCCTGTTTAGGCACAATATTGGTCAAGATGTCGGCCTTCAGAGCTCTTTGCATAAATTGAACCCGATATGGGCGAGTATAGTACTCCATGGGGACGAGGAGAAGTAATTCATAAGTCGAATCCACTTGTTGCATAAGTTTCGTGTTTACTAAATCGACGCTATTCGAAGCGACCACCCTTGTCAAATCGATCCTATCCAGAAGTGATGTTCTTTCATCAACCAAGGTTAAGAAAACAGCTGAGAGATCTTCTAGTGTCAAGATGCGATTATTTGCAGTGAGACTTACCTCTTAAGTTTGGTAGCTCCCAGAATTGCGCAGAACAAAATAGTTCACCGACAATATTGTTAGCCTGTACACGAGGAGCTGAAGTGGTCGGTAGCTGATGGCTGATGTGATGAATGTTGAATACCAATTGTAAAAATCGGGCCAAATATTGCGTAGAGGGCACCAGGCTAAAGCGCTTAGTTTTTCTAAACTGCTATTGAGTGATGCAAACTTACTCGATATCAGCCATCCATCTTTTAATGAGCAGATGTAATATATCCAACGCAGGTGTATGCTTCTCGTCATTACCCAATTTGGACAACGCCATCCTACCTTCTCCAACAAGATGCCACTCAAGGTACGAGAGGACGCTATTTAGCACAGAAGCACTGTGAGAGTCATTTTCATTGATCATCTCCCCTAGCAGACTTCGGAACTGTACGTTATTTGGTGAGAGTTTATTGAAAGCTATTGAGGAAGTTTACGCACGATTTCGAGAGTGAGTTCTGGCAATGTATTTTCCTCCTGGACCACTTGGAGCATTACTGATAGTAAATTTCCGCCGTCCTGGTTACTCTGATTTACACAGCCGCTACGTTTCAGTCCATAATCGAAGCGAAGGGCAGCCGTTGCGGTAGTTTGTTGTGCCCACACAATGCTATGATTCTCTGGCTGTTGCGACCCAAGCAGATCAAATGAGGCGCGAGTGGCGACCTTTTGAGCTTCTTTAATCAGCAAGTCAACATCACTCCGAGTGGTCTCAGAAAGAGACTGCCCGGCGATGGCGAGGAGGATCACTGATATGATTCTGGTAGCCAGAGAGAAAACTACGGCCAATGTTTCTGCATCGCTATTTGCAGGAGCAGAGTTCCCCGTCCCTCGCTTCTTTTTTGCAGTAAGGCGTTTTTGAACAAAGTTTTCTTGACATCGACTCCAGGCGTCTGTGAAGACCATGAGAACCTCGCGCGTTGTTTGAACTACTTGTCCTGGTGTAATGAAGTTATGAACAGATCTAGAGAAATGTTCCAGATGGTCGGCGCTGAAAACAGGACTAGATAGAGCTAGGTCATAGAAAAAACGCGGATCTTTGATGCTAGATAAGATATGATGGTCTGAAAGAGCTGATAGTATGCTCAAAGCATAAGAATTCAATGTTCGAGTTTTGACATGATATTCTAGGATGAGATCCAGGAAGGGGAGTGCATTTGTCGAAATGTTTTGTGCCTAGGATATGTAACATGAGCTAGGCGATGATAACAACAGATCGGCAACGGTACCGCAAGCAATCTAGGCAAGATTTTAGGCAATGACGGCCCTATGATATCATAATCTATACGAACGAGGGTCTCAAGGACACTGATGACAGGGCTCGCAACTGATGATCGCCCCGCTACTCAGAGTGTGAGATTGAATTGACCGTCATAATATGTTGGACTCCTTACTTTGCCAAGATTCACCAAGAGCACTGATAGCAAGCTCTCTACTGTGCGAAACCGGATGCCGGCCTACTTGGTCAGTGGCACTGTATAACTTCTCGCTATCCACGATAGCAAGTAAAGCGGCTCGGGTTGACCATAGTTGCGTATCTTCTGCAGCACAATCTAGAAGATTGCTGCAAGATGCGAAAAACCTCATTCCGGCCACCTTGACTTGTCCTATAAGACGTTCGAATGATTGGCTTGAGTCCAGAGAAAATAGTGTGCCACGATATTTATGAATGCATTGCACGTAGGACCGGAATATACGTGGAGTTATAGTCAAGATACGAGCGGAAGATGCGGGCATGGATTTGACGAGGAAGTCAAAAAATTTGTCTTCAGAGTGGGAATCTTGAGTTTGTCGGAGTGTATCGATGTTGAAGATTGTGTCAAATCCTGCAGCATAGATATTCTCTAACAACGATTGGCATGTAACTTCAATATCCGCTCGACCTATTCCTGAAATGCATTGAACCCAACTATCCAAATAAGACCCTATGAATGACACATAAAGCTACGTTGTGAAGGATGGATAGGTCAAAGCGTGATCCAACCAGAACAGGATGAGGAAACTACCTTTCTCTTAATCGAAGAGTTCTCGAGTGCAGCTTGGTATGAGGCGACGATCATCGAATAAGTACGAGCCAGATTTTCATCTGCAGTGCACATCTCAAATACCGCTAGTACGGAACCGAAGCAGTCCAAGAGCAAGTCAGGGGTGAATCTGTGTACGGATAAGGGCCACAGGATGTCGAAACACTTTTGCGCGATTGGACAAAGACATCGCATTTGAATATTATCGAGTTTTTCCAGAATGCCTAAATACGCAAGCATAATGGGGGCGATAGGAGTCCGATTCAGCAGAGGCAGAAGCCAGACTTTGGTCGGACGTGCCACATTAGAGGACATTTGATGTGTTATAATACTATTCATAAGAATCCAAAAGCGAGTATCAGCGATTGCGCTGGATTTGCTGTTGACATATATACATAAACTGGAAGCCTAAAATCGGGAAGAGGGAAATAAAGAACTCACGACTCGGCATCATGCTTATCTTTGAGGAGTCGAGTTAGGATCCAATCTATGATGACTTCGCCCTTGTTTGGTACAGCGAAGGAGGTGTTATCCCATGTAAGCTGAGCGATTTCAATCTTTTGTAAACCACCTGGGTGGGGAGGATCAGTCGAGGCTTTCAGAGCCCGAACAAAATTCTGGGATGTTTGTGTGTAAGACGACATGCTTCATACGACGGACTTGAGCAAGTCCCAGGTGGGTCGTCACACTGGCAGCGTTGTGCCAGTCAATGACTTGTCAAAAAAAAGTCCTTGACCGATAGTCATGACCGAGTCAACGAGTGGTTGAACATCGGTAATGATGGTAGCCGAGTGGCCGGAGACTGTTCCTCAGATGTCACCGTATCGCTGTTCTGACGAATACCGACTGCATTGGACTATCTCGTCCACAAGGGCTGACTGCATTGATTACATGGATATCTGCATGCGACGCTTGTTGGCTGTTCTTCGTCCGTATCGTTCTGTGTGGATCGGCTATAACCACGACAAAACCACTTATCTGAACCGTTCCTCAGCGCGTTTTGCTTCGAGTGGGCCATCAATAGCCGGTGGAAAAAGAGAATTAAACGTTCAATGTGGTTTGATCTCATTCTCTGACATCACGTTCATCTTAATCACAACCAACCCTTTGGCCAGCTGAACCTGCACGGAGAGAGAATGTGACCCGCACCAAACAACCACGCAACATTGACAGCTTTATAAAACTTCCACTAAATCCAGAGGTTCCCTTTCTGATACGTCGCGAAGATTTCGACAAATATCTTCGACACTTGTTTTCCCGTAATTGGGCGATCTCATATGTTCGTTTGTCTGGGATAACCATACCAGAGCTTCAGAAACAGTTCTTTTTTGTAGACAACATCACAGCCCTCGAATTTGAGGTCAAATTGTATGAAATTGCTCGTGCAGAGAACGTGAGTCCTTCATCCCGAAAAGAGTTCCGCTATGTCGCGAACATGAGAGGGACTGAATCTTCAACAGCATTTCCCACGTTGGACAGTAGCTGGAAGCAAGGTTCAAGTCCGTACACATACCAAGTCCCAATTGACTGTTCCGAGTAGCGCTGGCAAGGCAGGAATTACTCACCGCGACATTCGAGTAGCTGGACTCATCCAAATGATGTGGAAACAAGATTTTCTCGACAAAGGAAAAGGCAATATACCTTTGCGCTCCTCGCACAGAAAAACCGAACTCCCTTCTTCCCCCAAGCAGGTAAATGCGCATGTCGATACTAGACATAATGCGGTCGATGTCGTCTGCCTTATATGCAACGGATTTCACAGCACCACGCTATGTCCTGAGCGGTACACTACTCTTCCACCCCGTGGTCGACCCTGTCCTACTTGTGGAGGGCAGCACTGGCGTATCAATTGTACTTTGGAACACGTTAGTCATCATGATGGTGAAATTAAGCGGCTCCCTTGCCCAGTTTGTGGAGGTAATCACCGGAAATATGCCTGTCCGACTATCATAGAGAATCGGAAGAATCGTCCCCCAATTCTTCCTGTTCCTGGTATCCCTTACGTGGCATGAGCTGTGAGATTGTCTCTCCACTGTTTTGTTACTGTGTGCGTCATTCTCGTGGTTACCTATCAGTACACCCTGACAAGTTGCTGTTTCTACATTTCGATGGCACGCAAAGTACTACTGACTGTCCCCATATCAACCTTAACCCCATATTAGTTTCGCTACGGACTTCACTTGGCTCGCGACCTCGCTATGAAATACAAGCAGCTCTGCGGCTAGATCTTGTTGCATATGGTTTCTGTCAGTGGTTCCAGACAAGGGTGTAATTCCTTGGAGCTGGGCAAGCTTGAAGATAACTTGTGGAGGCGTGCTGCCAGTTGCATGTGATATTTCAAGAACTGTAGGATGAGATAAAAGATTCGGGGAGCCAGATAACGTCCAGAACGACCTGCGGGGAGAGGGTTGGATATACTTATCAGCGAACTCGCCATTCTCAATATTCAAGCGACGCACTGATATTGTATCCCATTTTCTTTGCAGTACTTGCATACCTCCCTGTCCCAGACATTACCCTCGTACCACCTATTCTGAATGACTTGCACTTGTCTCTCTGCGCTCAAAGTTTCCAACAGTGCCGTGTCGTAAACATTGCTCACCCCAATCTTGCGCACTTTGCCTTCATCTTGGAGGCTCGCGAGAACGCACCACGCTTCCAGAGTCTGTTTCAATGTTGACAATGGCGAATGAAGCAGATACGAATCTAGATAGGATGTTTCTAGATTGGCTAGAGATGTCTGGAAGGAAGATAATATTTGTTTTCGGACAGGATCTGCTGGATTGAATGGCAGTGGTTTAGAGACATCTTGACCTCCTATAGGGGTGTATCTGTAACATGCAAATATCGCTATTGCTCCGCATTGTGAAGTTCACAGATATCATTTACGCTCACTTCGTCTGAATAAATATCTCTTCCCGCCTTATCTTGTGATTATCCCGCAGAGTTGCGAGCGCTTTCCCAACTAAGTCTTCTCTGTCGTACGGTCAGAACGGTACTCCACATTTCACAACTGAGCTCTCACCTGTAATGTTTTGGCTGGCATGCTATTCACATAGAGTTGAGATGTGTGCTATATCATGGCGATGATATGTTGATCGCTATGCGTACATACCTGTATCCACAGCTCTAAAACCTTGCAGAAATGCGCTCACGACAAGCTGGGTTGTCCTCTCTCCCTTCCTATGTGCACGTCAATACCCTTGGGCAAGAATGAAAGCGTGCATGCAAACCACGCCGTTCCGTATATCATCTTTGTAGACATCATGGCGGATGATTGAGGTCGAAAGTGCGATCGAAACACATACAAGTTCAAAGTTCACACTGGCTCTCACCAGGCATATGATCGAAGTGGCTGTGCTGTGGAGACATGGATAAGCCCGGCTATGACCGGACCGTGAGGAAGTTTCTCAAGCTCACATCACATCACACAGAAGAGCTCCAAGTGCCAATGGATACGCTATCGCGCAGGGAAGAAGACACACTCTTAAAGGCCACCAAAGCTCGTGCGTTGAAGGATTGCGATGATATCGTGAAAGGCAAACTACATTTCATTCAGTATCTACTTTTTTCTCTTTGCTAATTCCAATTAAAAACAGATTTCGCAGAATGCGCTACCGGACGCACCATCTCCGTCGCATGGGCGTGTAGAGACCAGTACAAGAATGTACAAAATTGCATGCTGCGGTAGTAAGTAATCCTCATTTTTGTCTACGAGTCCACTCATCCAAATTCCCCGTATTCTCAGCACTGGACCCGAAGCTATGGACCTGGTCCGTAAAGAATACCTGCGATTAAGGAATCCTCAGCAGCAGACTGCTGCCGATGTATCTTCGTGACATCCAGAGCACAATCTTTATGTGCCGTACGCCATGCAAATTCCACTGGTCCCTCCAAGGTGGTTACCATCGCTTAGAGTCACTTACAACGTCGACGGGGCGGAATCCAAAGAAATATCATAATTTCTGTTAGAAAAAATACTCAGAGCCTGTAGCGTATCTCTCCTGTTACATAGCCACGAGTGCGCTATCTACAGTAATACAGGCCAATCGCTCTAGCAACCATGCCAGATCGCGGTACAACAAAAAAAAAGCTAGCCATACAAGCAATAAAAGTAATGAATGTGAATGAAAGGCGAAGGAGGTTGTGGTTTTTTTTTCACTTCTTAAAGCCGTTGACTGCAGCCCATTGTGAGCGAAGACCCATCACAGATGATATCAATCTGTGAAGCATCGTTAAACACATAAAATAGAAGCCACAAAACTTTTGAACATTAACTCACCCGCAGATTCCAACAAAGCCATCGTTCACATTGACGAGACCGAGGTTTGAAGCCGGTATCCAGATATCAAGGACGTCGATCGTGAATTGGTAGCGAGTGTCGGCACGTATGCTGTTACAGAACTTGGTGAGCCTGATGTCACGATGATGATATGATTCATTCTTACTTTTCGAGAGCCATGATTTTGAGCTCCCGTTGAGCTTCGTCACCAAGCTCTTTCTCGCCCCATTTTTCCGAAGCACGCAGCCTTTTAGCTTCCTGGGCTAACCTCCCGGCCTGTCCAATTACGATGAGTCTCGAATGGAGTGAAGCGGTTCAACTGCAAGTACCTTTAACAACCCATGGGCAATGCTGAAAAGGATTCCCGCCAGCCAGAATCGGTTAGATACTCGCGTCGCCCTGGCGCTTGTGGCAGGCTTCAAGTTGATAAATTTTGCGGAATTGGCCTATATTATTGTCATAGTCAGACTGGCAGCATGTCTCATCAGAGTGAGAGATACATTACCCAGATAACAGCGTCGTATGTGAGATATCCAAAGTAAGCAAGTTGTCGTCCTACGGTGGTTAATTGCTCGCTCATTTCAGGAGTGGGCTTGATGGCGCGGAGCGCTGCCTGAAGATGCTCCATGGGCTTTCCCAGCCGCATGACTGTAGAGAATGGTGAGCGTGAACATGGAACAGGGCTCTTATCGCTCACGTTTCCTGCCAGTCGCAAGATGAGTTTTGAGGGCATTCCATCTTGCAGCTTGAAGTTTCTGTCCGCGAGACAAGAGAAACCACGCCAGAAAACGCGCAAAGTACTGGACTGTGCGATATAGCTGTGGAAGGTTACTGCATGTAAGGATGACGTCCTGCATGAGGAAATAGATTGTTTCACCTTATCACGACCAAGAGTGGTTCCACCCAGCTTGAGGGTTTGCGATACGAAAGGATGAAGGACTATCTGGGATGCGACTGTAGACATGATGATGATACTTGAGTATTCGTGGACAAGTGCAGCTCTTAGTAGGGCACGGACAGAATCACGCGGAACCGGAGACGGAAGAAGTTGCCGGTGGGGCGGGCGAAAGCCGCAAACACGCTTGTGACTTTCCCAAATGCGGACGTAACGCGGTATTAGTAAGTGATCGTCGACTTTCAAAATCATCAGTGGATGGAGGTGCTGGTAGTGCATGACGATCCTATACTATATGTAGTACCTATGATAGTGCTGTACACTATAGTTCATATGCGTAGATGAAATCTCCCTGTGCCTTTCTGCTTCTTTCGATTATCATCAATTTCTTCCCGCATTTACACCCGCCCGACAACTTTGAGGTGATTTCAAAAGATGCCAAGGGCCAACCACGAAAACCCCCCTCGTAAACACGCACGTCAAAGCAGACTCATGTCATCATCACTCCCCAGCCTCAGCCTCCAAAATCTCCCTCTCCAGCCTGGCTCTCTCCGCCTCACGCATCCTCAGCAACGTGAGGGACTCGTAATCCAGACCAGACCCGTTTGCAGCATTAGATGGCGATGGTTCAGCGGTGGTGGACTGTCTCAGGGAGCAATATAAAAACACCAGTACCGTCAAAATAGTCGTAGTACGGCCGAGGGCGATGAATGTATAGTTTGAAGGTAGCGGAACGTCCCATGTCCAACGAGATATAAATCAACACCAGTGTTCAGAAAAGTCAAAAATTAATAGAGAGCAAGGGAAAGAGCGCACAAATGATGGAAATGTAGACGGAAAAGACGCATATGCCGAGTTATTCGAGTCAGATGGTAACGAAGGAGGAGAACCGGGGCTCTTTGGTGGTATAGGTCGTTCAGACGACGTCTCCCGCATCGATTCATCGTCCACCCTCGTCCCCGCTCCATCGCCCAACTTCCCCTTCTTCCTCAACCACCCAATAATCAATGGCTCCTCCCCACCTGCCCAGCTCACACCCATATCACACAGCCTATCCCTCCCACTCGCACACACAGCTGCATAAGCAGCAGAAAGCTGGGAAAAAGGGACGAGTGCCGTCACGTTCTTAGAGGCCTCATCCGATGATGTCTGACTCTTGCTCTTTTTCTTTGGCTTGGCGGGTTTGAGGGCGAGAACGACGGTTTTGGCGTCTATGGGCCCGAAATGCGAGAGGTGGGCTGCTAATGAGGACGGTGTGGAGAGTGTAGGGTGGGCGGAGAGAGCGTACTTGA